ACTATGGTTGTCCGCTTGGCGAAGTTGAAGAAGATATAGACCATAGAGATTCCTTACTGAAAGGATATTGCAGTATTTTGTGAAGTTTCAGACAAAGATGACATTATTGGACCTTCTAAACTTTTGAGCTTTACACATAACTATCACCATAGGAAATCTGCTGCGCATTCTTCTTACTAGAGCTACTAGTACTTTGAGAGCGTATTCTGAATACGTGAATTTACAACGAACTACCTTCGAGCATAAATGAACCAGATAAGACTCACGGATGAGCAATTCTCTCCATACCAAGGGAACTTGCTAATGGACTGAAATTTTTAAGTTGAACTTGGACTGAATTGTTTTAATGTTCTTCATACTATTACACCAAGTAATGCACGAAAAGTGTATCGGCAAATTTTGTACACTAGTATTGTAACGATATAAATACCTGAAGTTACGGTAGCACTCTGAAATTAGGTTCTTGGTTGTTTTTATACGTAATGAAATATTGCATTACATTTCGCATTTGTGGATCTTTACGGATTTATAAGTGCAAGTGGACGGCAAAAGCTGTTGTTTCGCCACTGCAGATGAGTGTTCCATACCATAGTTAGACGCCAACATTTCCACCTAAGCCGACAGTTGAATAGTGCAATATTGCGCTAGATAAGCAAACACATTTGCGTCGTTTGTCACAGCTACCTGTTGTCTGTTCCTACTCGTCTTTACGCACGTCTCACCCATTACACATCGAGTCCCATTGCAACTATCCGTAGACGTAATGCATTGTCGCCCATAAGCCGTAGTACAGCAGCTACATTATTACAAAGGGTTCCGATGCCAAATATAAACGCGACGTAATGTTGGAGAGACCAAGGATGTCAACCACACAGACAGCACCTGAAAATCGATCGATTTCCAGCGCGTGTGACTGCGTGTTAGCTTGAAACTTGCAGCCAACCACATGGCACGTGAGCATCGATTGGTTTCGACTAAGTGTTTAGGTAACAGCTTTCCCCGCACAGTTGGTTGTAACATCGGTTGTGCAAGTAAACGTTTTCAAGCAGTGTCAATTGTGTCTTCTTACCACTAAGCGTAGTTATAACAGTCTGGCGACGGAGATGATTGATCAAAATGTTATCATGAAAATGTTACAAAATCAGCAACCTCAATTGGATTAACAGCAGAAGCTATTTGAAATTCTCGCACGAAATATTCCAGCACACTAATCGGAGGTTCCAGAGGGCAGAAATGATACTCAACTTAAGTTGCACTGACCGATGAAATTCAAAAGTTCAGTTACGACCCAGACAGTGGTAATAACTTTTTAGCTGGGTACAAGAGATATGAAGCCCTTTTTATTATCGACGGTTCAGCATTGGATGAAGCAGTAAAAGTACTGCTGTTTAGGCAAAAAACTTGGATGTTCTGAACACACAAGATATTGCAATTATATTCTACCAAAACACCTAAGAGATTTTTTTGCAAGAAACCGTGGAAATGCTTACCATAATTTTGGAGAGTGGACATCTATATTTAACGATTGTTATAATTGTTTAAAGCTTACTAGAGCAGAAGACGAAGACAGTGTGACATATGCAGGTAGAGTAAACGTGGAATGTGAAAGGTTCCAATATAAAAGAATGGCGAACGATCAATTCAAAGCATTGAATTTTGTATCTGGCTTAACATCGCCTGCGGATTCCGATATTAGAACAAAATTACTATCAAGACTGGACTCTAGCTGTAACATTTCTTTGTACGATTTAACCACGGAATATCTCAAAAAGATGAACCTAAAGGGTGATGCACAAATTTTACAGTCAAACAACTATTAGTTAGTTATGACTTCTGTTGCTAAAATTACTAAATCAAACGCAGAAATAAAACAATATTTTGTGTGTAACGATGCTTTAGCAATAGTGAATGACTGTTTAATGCTGGCAGAGCTCATGGTGATCCCCACAAATCTCAGTCAAAGTGATTCAAATGCGTCATATCGGACACCATGGAATTCCACGAATGCAATCATTTGCCATATGTTATGCTTATTCGCCACATATTGATAAGGATATTGAAGGCATTGTCCGTAGTTATTCTAAATGTGTACAGGCTGCGAAAGCCCACATCTAATTTGAACTTCATCCTTTGCCGATTCATGTGAATTATGCAGGCCCCCTGAACAATCAATATCTTCTGCTGATTGTTGATTCATACTCAAAATGGCTAGAAATAGTTTGGGTCATCAACAGCAGTACATCAGCCATTTGAACTGATGCTTCGCTGCCATACAACCATGAGGACCTATGAAATAAAGAATAATAAAATGAAGGGGGATTTACCTGAAAACCTTAATGCCCTATCCAAACATTCAGGGTTAAGGCGTCTACACATGGTGTTAACAACATACCGTCACAAACTGCTGGCTATCGTGCAAAGATAAGGCGGCATCGGCGAGACAGCTTCCTTGCGGCTTTCACTGCCATGCGTCATAATCAGCCATTACCAAGCAGATAACACAACACCAAACACACTTTAAACAGGCGAGCTGATTAGAAGACGGCAGCAGACGCGCCACTGGTGTCTGCTGCGAGCCATGTCCTGTAAAGTCTCGAGCCAAGCACAAAACCAGTCACGTGGACTCCAGCCCGGAAGGCGAGACGGACCAACGGCACCCAGTTGGTTCCTCAGTGACTTCATTTCCCGCTGCCAAGTCAACTTCTGTCCACCTCGAGCCTTGCGCCACCCTACACCTGGCAGAGTAAACAAGGCCCTCCAAGGTAAGCGTTGACCAGGCATATGTAGCACGTGCCCGAGCCACCTCAACTTATTCAGTGGTATCTGTTGTTCTAGGGAGCTAGCATGATTATCACTATCTAGTACTCGCCTACGCACATCATCGTTGCGGACACACTGGTGCCATCCGACTCCAGCAATGCTTCGCAGACAACGATGATCAAAGACTTGAAGGCGACTCAGATCTTCAGACCGAATGGGCCAAATCTCACTACCATAGAGCAGAACGGACCTCACTGTGGCCTTGTATACACGGCCATTCAGACGAAGGAAGCTACCTTCTGTCGCCATAGATGCCGCAGGTTCAAGAAGGCAGCTCCGGCCTTTAAAATGCATGAGCTGAGGTCAGTTTCTGTACGGCCATCCTAGCTGATACAGCTGCCAAGATAAGTAAATTGATCAACCACCTCGAGCTCCTCGTTAGCAAGGGTCAAGGGATCATAACGTGGCTGGTTGTCCTGCAGCAACAATTTGAACTTTGACGGTGCAAGGCGCATAACAAATAATTGGACCACATTAGACAGACTATTCAGGGTTGATTGTGCCGCCGCGACATCGTCGAAAAGCAAGATGATATCGTCCGCATAATCAAGATCAACTGATCTTTCACCAAGCAGCAGTTCAACGCCTGCATGGTCATATTCCGCAAGGAAACACTCCATGATAGAATCCACGAGAAATTGAATAAAAATGGGGAAATCGGACAACCCCGACGAACGCCATTTGTGATCGGAAAGCTATCCTACAGGACACTGTAGACCCTGACGCGGCCTGTAGTGTTCGAGTTTAGATCACGAAGGATGTTCACATATTTCGTGGGAACACCTTTCCGCGCAAGTATTTCGTACAGAATGGATCGATTGACTGAATCGAACGCAAGCTTGGAATCGAGGAACACAGCTATTGTCGGCCTGTGGTATGGTTGGCGCTGCTCCAGCACCTGCCGCAAAGTGAATATATAGTCTATGCAGCCACGTGCTGGGCGGAAACGGGCCTGATCTTCCCTAATCTGTGATTCCCGTTCTGCAGTGAGGCGACGAACGGGAAGCAAAGCCAGTACTTTTGTCACAACTGGCGTTAGGCTAATACCTCTGTGGTCAGAACAGTCTATGCGACGGCGCTTCTTGCATATTGCCACTATAATCGATTCGCTCCAAGTACCCGTGGCACTCTCTGCCTTCCAGATACATTCGAATAAGAAGGTCAGTGCTTTGCAGAGGACCTCACCCCCATCTTTAAATAGTGCAGGTGGGAGGGAATCCGGGCCAGCGGCACGGAAACGCTTGAGGGCTGTGATCGCGTTTCGGACCTCGGCCTCTGACGGAGGCTCTAAACTAACCGTCCATGGTTCATCCATGGCAAAACCTGAGTAGGAAGAGGTCCGGGAGCAGCGTCACTCAACCAACGATACCTTCAACGATCACCTACCGGCTCTGCCTTGTGGAAAAATGAGACGATTAAGAGACAACAACAATTGCACCACTGGGGTGGGCTACGGGGGGTGTTGTTTAAGCCCTTGTGCGAAGAACTGGGACTGTTTTATGGACCCCCTGTCTAAAGGGCGTGAAGCACCGACAATGTCAAGTCGAGCTACTAAAGATTACATTTTCCATCGCCGAGCTGTTCCTGACAGGTTTTGAGCTGGCGTATGTAGCAGTGGTAACTTCCAAAGCTCCTTACTCCGTCTTATTTGTTGATTTATCGACTTACTCCTGTTATCCCTACTTATGACACGACGGCATTTGCCATCGGCTCCGTAAGCAACTTTGGCCAAATACCTGACGGCTCTTGATGTCTAAATGCTGAAGCGAATCAATTTCCACTACTGCTGAAGAAGACGGCTCCAACTACTATCCTGTAGCCAAGGCACTTGCGACCAACGCAAATCTCCCGCTTGCAACGAATATATCGCAAATGCATGAAGGTTGCTCAAGTTCTTTAACAATGAGGTAATTTCTGTGACCACACGCATGTCAATGCTGATACGACTGATTGAATATCACCTGGCCGTCAAATTTCACAGGGCTTGAAAGAAGCAGCTTATGCTGCCATTTTGCACCCTAGCGTTTCCGTATCAGAACAATGATGGCAGAAAAGTAAAAATAAATCCAGACGCAAACTACAAATAGTCCCCTTGAGTAGTGTCACAAACCCGGGCATTACAAGTGTGTGCATTTGTGAGTTATGCGCCTGGTACAACAATCAGTCTACTTCCGTTGTAGATATTGAAACTGCCTGTGAAAATGTGAAGTGCCGTAACGGAGAGCGGTGCAATGGAGGCAAGTGTGAATGTGAGGACTCATGTCATCCGGAATGGAACAGTCACGACAGAAAGGTGAGCTATGCCATTAAACTTTTGCCAGTAGGATCAAGTGTATCCATTAAAACAGTGGAAACCCGATTGTAGAAAACAGTACTTTTCAGTGCATCTCTTCAGGTGTTCGTTTGGACAAGCTAACTAGCACGGATACGCTGTCATGTTTATTTGTACCCATAGGGAGCCCTGAATCCCTACAGAAGTACCAACCAGAGCATGACAAAATAACTAGGTGGCACTGAAAACATGTACTACGCAGTGATTCAAATAACAAGATTGTCACGGTATCGACAAAGTATAACAGATCCGTTTATCTGTCACTATAAGGAGAATATGGAGTTATTTGTTTGAATTGTTGTACGGTTCAGTCTGTGTATTAACCAAGACAAGCCAACTTCGCTTTTTGCAGCATCGTAGTACTCCTTTGTAGTAATTGCTAAGGATAAAAGTGGACGTATCTGATGAATTAGCGGCTGCGTACGCAATTGATACGTGTACGTATGGTAATAAGTTATCCTGCAATCAAAAAGTCGAGCTTTTCTGTCAAATATAGGGAATTATGGCCGGAGGAAAGAAGTATCTTTATGTAGGGAAACCGGAAAAATCGTCCGTTAAAAGCAACGTTGGAGGCTCACTTTGATTATGAAGAAAAGTAATACAACCAATTGTTAGTTGCATTCTAAGGAGCATTTAAAGTTTATCAAAGACTGTGGAATAACATGTCAGTTTCAGCCATTTGGCTGGTAGATGTTTTCAGCAACACCAAAAGTGTAGCTCACCTCAAGTCATGGCAAACGAAGAGCTTAATTGAATGTCTTCTGTAGAGTACCGTCGGCAGTCTTCGGAGTCCAGTGGTTTCCATTGTAATCAATATCACCTTTTGAGGCCTTTCGTGTTTCCCCGCTGTATTTGTGACTCTTTAAATGTGTAGTTAGTCTGAGCTCGAAATCTCAGGAATGGAAATACTAACCTTCCCAACCACGCCAAGTTATAGTGAGACAGAGTGCCTCTTCGCTTTCCATGTGTCCGAGATAGCTGAACCACCGATACAAGAGAGGTAAATTGAACAGGGGATTGCCAGTGGACCAAAGTTATATCTTTGATGCCTTGACTTGTGAATACAGCCGTTTCATAAGGGACATAAGTCCTGGCAGCCAGATGTGTTTGGCACACCGTCGTTAGCATTTGCTGTCTAGTAATTTGAGCAGGAAGTTAACCTTCAGAAGCACGGTAAGAAATGTCTCCTTTCTTTCTCCAATCATCATCGCCTTATAGTGACCATCATCATCATCATCATCACCATCATCATCACACACGTTAGCTAGAGGTGGGAAACACCTCAGCTACTGTGCCGCAAGAAATAGAAGAAGAAAACAACTGATGCAAACCGTCTGAGCTACCGGTAACGGATGGACATCGTTCCGGTAAGCTACCAGCCGGCTAATGTGCATCAAAAAAGAATTACTATGCAAAAGTATATAATGCTAAATAGTGAGATCGTGATTGGAGGGGGAGGCTAAGAGGGATGGGGTGGGACAAAGAAACTCACAGCACGAATGCCACTGAGGTCGACTCCTAGCCATATCAGCAAGTGTATCCAGCCAAACGTGTTCGTCTTCCGGACCCCAACCAGTGAGCCGAGACGCTCCAAGTGAGGCCAGCTCTGAAGTGAGTGCCTACATTCATTTCGACCAAATCATCGCTTGGCGACCCCTCATCTTCTTTCATCCACACCCTTGGCGCGCAGACAACGCACGTCGCGGGAATCGGTGGGCTGGCATGCATAACAAGTGGCCGAGTCATCGGAGCCTGGTGTGTGGAATAACGGTGCTGAGCGGTTCAGTTCCTTTTCCTGTGCCGTGAACCAAGCGTCAAACATGCTCGTTGCTCACGGGGTGTTTCCGCCAGATGTGAGCTAAATTGCGAAGGCACCGGTGGTCGAACGTAACTAGACTCTTTATTTCCGCTGATTTAAGCGGCCATGTTTCATAACCGTACAGTAGGGTCGAGCGCACTGCTGCATTGTACACTCTATCCTTCAGGGTGAGAGTGATGTCGCGCCGGCGCCATAAGTGGCGAAGGTTAGCAAAAGCGCCCTGAGCTTTTGCTATACTGTTCGTGATCTCCTCTTCGATCCCACGGGCGCTGCTACAACTTCCCAGGTAGTTACATTTTAGAATGACTTCAGCTGATCCCCACCAACGGTCAGTGTAGGAGACTGTCCAGAGGCGGTACTGTAATCACGAGTAACTGAACACTTTTTGATGAACACAATCGGGGACCTACTATTTGCTGGCGTCAGTCCACTTTGTTAGTCTGGTAGAGTAACCCATTCTAGGAGACTTTTAGATGGACATCGATTGATTTGTGTAAGGAAGAGACGATGCACTTCTCATCCGGGTTGGTCAGGATATTTGCAACCCGGCTGCAACGATTTCATGCCATCTATCACAGACTTTCTTTGCTATTCGCTAAACTATTGTTTCGACTTCTTATACTCCCAAAATCACATCAAACAAACATCAATTCATATAGATTATCCTAGGGTATGATTAGTACAAGGACCGAACAATAAGTTTCCGGATACCAATACACAGATTAGGTGCAGATGACCAGGCAAGAAATAGTTGAACTATAATCCACACTGAACAGTGTTCAATGATGACTCACAGAACCACATATAAGCAGACCAGTGCAGATCACATCATAAGGGTCGCTATACTCTGACTGTATGTACGGAAGTCAGTCAATGTCATTGGAAGGCGATGACTTTCGATGACTAAAAATGTGGTTTAAGGTAACACCAGAGTGTTGCGTGGCTTCGTGCTGCGTTTGGTGACGATGCGCCTCCACTAACCACAGTGTTTGCTGGGTTTGCGGAATTTAAGCTTGGCAGGTGGTCCGTGAATGATGGTGCACGGTGCAGCCGACCGGTGGAGGCCACCATCGAGGACGACATTGCCGCTGTGCAAGCAATGCTGAAGGAGGAAGCGCCTGCGGCTGCGGTACAGCCGGGGAAAGCCCTCGGGAGCTCCTCGGGATCGATCCGTACCACCCTACATGAGAAAGCCGGCCTCAGAAATGTTTGCGCACATTGGGTACCCCATCATCTCAGTGAGGATCATAAAGCAGCTCTGGTGTACTGATACCGCACCATGCTTGCCAGGTTTGGTAGTGGACGTCCGAATGCTGTTTTCGAGATCTCTAGTGGTGAGGAGACCTGGGTGTACAGTTTCGACCCAGAGACCAAGCAACGATTGACTCATTAGACGGTCTTTGATAGGGCGCCACTTCAGAAGTTCCGGCGTGAGCGAAGTGTGGTCAAGAAGATTGTGGCTGTGTTCGTGACCAAGACCAGCTACTATGCCGCTCGTGCTGCAACGCACGGTTGTCGGAGAAGTGTATGTCACCTACTGTCTGACACAAGTGCTGGGAGCTATAGCCAGTCGTCGTCCAAGGTCTCGAGCACGAGGGACCTGGCTGCACCATGACAACGCATCTGCACACAGGTCCCATGGCGTCGTATCTTTCCTAGCTACAGAATGCATCCAGAAAGCGAAGCTCAACATGCTTGGTCTCGACTGGCTCGAAACCCTTGGCTTGGCCGGTCTTCCTCTTCGGGCCATCTGTAACGCGGTACCTCCTCCGGCAGTACCAAACAACTGAACTGACGACAATGTCAGTCAGTCCTCACCCGTGTCCCAGGATTGTCAACAAGCCTCAAAGATTTTACCACGCCGATCACCGGTTCCTTGGCATCCGCCAGCAAAACTGTGTTCGCTAGTGCACATTGACTTTGCTAGTCCCATCGATGGCATTTCCTATCTGGTCGTGGTCGACGCCTATTACAAATGGCTAGAAGTGGTCGCCATCAACCCACCAACCGCATCCGCCACTCTGGGTTGTCTCCAACGAATCTCCAGTCAACATGGCCTTCCCGAGGTTTTGGTGTCTGACAATGGTACCCAGTTTACGTCTTCCATCTTCGAAGACTTTTGTCTCCGACACTGCATCCAACACTTCCGCTCACTGCCTTACCATCCCCAGTCCAATGGTCAAGCGGAGCAATTTGTCGACACCTTCAAGAGGGCGCTTTTGAAAACTCACGGGGAGGGGATCGTGGATGAATGTCTTCAAGCCTTCCTGCTCTCGTACCGATCCACACCGAATCCGGCTACGCCAGAATGTCAGTCACCAGCTGAAGCATTGATGGGCCGCAGGCTACGCACCACCAACGAAGGGCTCATTCCGACTGAGAAGCTACCTAGTCACTCTGGTGCCTTCATCAAGCACAAAAAATTCGTCGTTAGAGCCCCCCTCTACGCTCGCGATTATTGAGCAGGTCATCCACGCTGGATAAAGGCAACGGTGACGGCCAGGCGAGGTGAAATGCTACATGATGTCTCCGTGGGTGATGAAACGTGGGTTCACCATCGCAACCAACTTCGACCGCGCCACGGGGAATCCTCCCAGCCACCCAGCCTTCCTGTGCGTTTGCCGCTACACATCCTGTTGGATACCTTTGGATTAGCTACACAAGGAGAGGCCACGGGGGAAGCCACTCGATCCCAGCCGCATCTGGAGAACCCGTCTTGCCGACGGACAGGAAGAATCCGGAGGTCGCCGAAATCAATCCAGGTCAATCCTCGTCAGAAGCAGTACGCTTTCTCTTCAAAAGGAGGTGTTGCGGATTCGGCAAATATCCCCAAAAAAGGCACCAGAAACTCCGGCATAGTGGCTGTGGAAAGCGGGGTCCAATTCCTCCCCACAACGCAGCAGTGTTCAGCCACTCCGAGCCCCGGTCCAACTGCGCACCTGTTGACAATGCTCTTTTACAAACTACCACATCGTCGTGGTAGCTATTTTCCCTAACTTAATGACCCATTGCATTGGCTGTGAGTTGCCCTTTGTTGGTCGTAAAAGAGCCTTTAGAAGACCACCTGTCGTGCTTCCTCTTCGCCTTAATGAGGAGTCGGTCGGTCACGTGATTTTGTGTGCGTCGTTAGCCGGGCAGCGTTTGCGTCTAAGTCACTAGTGCGCGTCTACTGTAACCTCCTCTCGTGTGCGTCCGTTCCGAGGGCTCAGCGTTCGCCCAGATACGTGCAGCTAGGATCGTTCTCACGCTCCCTCAATTTCCGTCCCACCAGCGCGTCCTGCGGGCTAAGCTAACGCAATTTTTTCTCTCCTTTGTTTGTATGTATGTCGGTACCCACAAACTGTTATATAAAATTACCGGTTATCGTTATCGGCACTGATGAGACGATATGAAATGCATGCATCTGCCGAACTTCGTCTTCTAATTGTGCTTTTTAAGCTAACGCCGTCAGGTCAGCGCAACCCGTTCGATTGGTCAGCGTCCCAAGCCGTTACCGTAGGCGTGCTCCAACCGTGCCAGTGACAATCTTATCAGGCATCTACACAATCATAACAGAGGCGTTACGTCAATTCTAACACCATCCATACAGTCCAGCTTTGGCTACGTACGTCTTTGTATCTTCCCGAATGCCAAGCTCATGTTGCGTGGAATCCGCTATGAGTGGCCAGTAGCTGTAGTAGAGGCCATTATTGAGCTGCTCGCTTCTGCACATGATTTTAACGAATGGAACTGTGAATAAACACTGGTGGAGGGTACTTCGAAAAATTGTAATCCTTATTTCGTTGCAAAAATTAAAACCTGTTCGGTATCTGGAAGCTTATTACGCTACCCTCCAATTAGTGCAATTATTGGCACTACTACTGCCACTAGCAGCAAAATTGGCGCTGGTGGTGTGGTGGAAACTGACTGGACATTGTTGTCTTCTGTTTTCGGGCGCTGCAAGTTGTGCTTACATATCCTGGCAGCTGCAATCGGTGCTTCACCGCAGTAACTTTGATACTTCCGATCGTCTGGCGCTTTCCTGCTGTTCGGTGGTTGTCTGTTCCAATCCAGTTGTAAAGTCGTTTATTCAATACGTTAACGTCATTTTTTCCATTTTCCCGATTTCATTTGCGCTGAGTAGTGTTTCATCGACTTACCCGCTTCGTCCTTCCTACCGAAAAGTGTCTATTTCATTTCAGCTATGCGTCGATGGAAACACATATAGACACGAATGTGACCTTTGGCGCAATCAGTGCTATTGCCGTACAGGGGATGCGCGATGCGGTGCTGAGCCGTTCAATAATCACAGAGCTACCGACGATTCTGTGATCAGATATTTCGACGAATGTAGAGGTAAGAGTGGATATCCGGAAAAAGTTGGGTAATGTTTTCTTCTCTTCCATGACGAAAGTGCTTTAGACACCTAGAACGGATAGATATTCAACAGTGTAACAAATAACGCCTAATACACGAGAGTGCAAAAAGCGGTATATATAAGGCGCACACAGCATTACACGTACTTAGCATTAAATTTTGGAACCTTCATGTTGCTCCTCTAATGCCTGCGTTACATTTCAGTCACGCCATCACTACTTTGTTTTCGCTGCTGTAGTGATGTGAAATTCGCATGTGCCAGCCAATAGCAAATCGAAGTGCAAAGTACATAAATTTCTACTACATCGGACACAAACAACTTGATTTGAATAGATAATGGAGGTGTGTTATCCCTGAATTACGGTGACACTATTCGCTTATAAGTGTACCTGATATATTGAAAAAGCATTTCATCGGTTTCTCTGGATGAATATAGCTAGGAAGCTACAGCAATTGATATCAATGCGCGGACGATGGTGCGAAAGTATGTAATTCACTGCGGTGAACCCGTGTAGGTCGAGTTGTCTTGATTCTACTCGTCGGTAAGTCGGAAGGAGGATACTGGTTGGCTAGGGTTTTCAACCAGGAAGGTAGTTGTGATGGTTGCTGAAAACTGGAGCGAAGCGAATCGCCTTTTTCGGTGTGGTCGATCGAGTGGGCGGATGAATTTTTAAAATCACAGCTAGTTGTACATTACCTCAGACTTGTGAATAGAACGTTTGTGTGCAGAGCCGGTGTGAGTTCTTTCTCTTGACGTGGATGGGAGAACAAAGCACGCTAAAGTACTCAGCATGATTCTTCCTCACGGTGGCGTACGAATCGTCAGGTACCCGTCTACTACACTGACATGAGGTCGTGTTGTATCACCGAGTCGACAGCATTGCCATGATCGGCACAAACGTTTGGTAGACGTGGTGAAAGGTATAACGGCGGGTTATGCTTGGCCTAGGGTGCCTATGAGCGTTGAGTCGAACGCTGGACATACCGAGTTTTGTTTGAGAAGTTTCTTCGCAGTCAGGCTCAGCCAGTACACGTTCAGGAAAGCGCTAGACAGCCGTTTCGTCCTGTCGAGACTCATCAGTAGCGCGTACCCGCTGGATCATGTCGGATTCGAACCCATGACCTTAATATTTCCAATCAGCAACTTATGCCACTGAGCCAGGGTTGAGAGCTGCAGACTGCCATGACTGATGTCTGTAATATAGCGCGGCCAGAGGCGTATTAAAGGGGGATGGAGTGTTATGTAGCCTCCGACTGTTCACGCCTTACGACCGCAAGAAGAACTCCAAAGACGAGCTGGAAAAAAATTGCATGCGGTGAATGACCCGGGTTCCCATAGCTTCGAAAACGTTTTGAAGGGAAACTACTAAAACACATCCGAACTAACCAAACAGAGGAAAAACGCTAAATGCAACAAGCGAACGAACAGCCGTGGAATGAAGAAGGAATCAGATATACCCTTGAAACGACGGGTGCTGGCCACTAAGAATAATGAAATGGCGTACTTAAACAATGGTCAGGACACAGACGAGAAGAAACAATGCTAACCAATAAATTAAGCACTACTACAAATATGTGTATGGACCAAACATGCCCCTAACTTCGTAAAATAAAAATTTATGGGAATAAAACCCAATTAAACATGCACTTGGAAACGATACTGCTGAATATGACACGTAAGGCAAGCGTCAATTAATGACTACGTGCATTTGCTGGACGGATTAAAGAAATGAAGCGTTTTAACAACTGTCAAGAGGTAGACGATAAGAAGAATGAAAAACGGTAATTAAGATCGTTCATAAACATGCATGTCAATATAGATTCTTCCAACCTGGAGGTTGGCCGTTCGCCTCGGGAGTCATGTGACCAGGGGGAGACAGTTTTAGTACAGTTAATTATTCGACACCAAATATGGTTGATATCAGGCGGGGCCTTCAAATTCGGCCGTGCTTTGGGATTATTGTCCACCAGAGTTATTAGCACACCATCATCTTCACTATTTTATTACCCTCTTCAGCCGTTTTTCATTGTGTGAATCGCGTCATGATTACCTCTGCTCGCGACATTTTAAAAATCTGTGCGTTTCACGAACCTGAACCTACCACTTTTGCCTGGGCATTTTGTACTGAACAAATAGAAAAGAATCAAAGGAAAACGAATTAGTTTCGCCAGAAAGCACCGTGCAGGTTGGCGGTTTGCACTTCGAGGGAAAAGCTCATCCCCATGGCTATACCTATTTTGACCAGTGCCAATATGCTTTCGTTTGTGGGTAACTTAGAAGAGCTTAAAAGTATAACAAATTGTCGCGAAAGAAACCTGGCTGCACGAGGATTTGGAAGATGCAGTTAGGGCAGTTGTCGGATTTACAGTGCATCGCGTTGACCGCTCCCGTACACACAGGCACCATGACGGTGGCATTATCAGATATGGGAATTTTTAATGGTGCACGTCGACAACAATTATTTTTCGTCGTTATGCTCAGTCTATTGGAGGTTTAATTGTGTAATGCAAGTCTCATTACTTTAGCGGCTATCGTCCGATTTCGTTAGCCAACATTTACAATCTCCCAGTTGTTTTAGAGCTGAGGCGGCAAATTTTTATAACGAGTTCACAACTACCGTCACTGAACGTTTAGATTTTTTATTTGTATTTGCCGGTAATTTCCTTCCATTCGATACTAGTTTCATTAGCAAACTTGGACTGAACAGTACCGTGAAGTCTGCAACCAGATTACAACCAACCTACGATTTAATGTTTGCCAACGAATTCAAAACATTTTCTGTTTGTACGAAGACACCGCTTGGAAGCTCAGATCATGCTACTATAAAAGTATCTCCCATAATCTATCGCAAAACGAATTACAAACATTATTCCCTAGGAAGATCACAAATTAACGCAAAGACAATGCCTTTCCCCCCAACGTTGAGCTACTAGGCGAAACTGGGCATCAACAGATTGGATTATATTTTACCACTCTGATGTATAAAATTACTGTGATCAGTTAACCGGCTAGTTGAACTTCTGTCTTGATATTTGTTGTCCTTTGGAAACTATTTTCATCCGCGTAGGTAGGTTTTCATCTTAGTGCTTTAAAAGACTGCGCAGACTTATATGAAAAATTTCAAGCACAAAGACGCCGCCTCAGTAAAGTCCCTGTCGGCTGATATGAAATATGAAATGTACCGTCTTTACCATATTTATGTCCAAACCATACATGAAAAGAATAATTGCCGAGAAAAATGGGAACAGATGAAGAACCTGTGGAGCCATCCGTATCTAGTGGCGCGGAAGGCAGCGTCACGCAGGAGACTGTTAAGCCACTAGAACAAGGGAGGACCAAAACAAACGCAGACTTCATGGACGAGATCGGACAGCGTAACCACAGCTCAACAACACGAGCAGAGAGCGGAATGCGAACAACGAACGAGAACATGCCGGATCCAAAGAGTGTCGATACGCCAAGAAATCAGACAGAAACACCTTTGTCGGTGCACCCTGGAGTAACCCCAAGCCGAATAACGCAACTGGGATCAAACAAAGCAAGAGCTTTAGAACAGCTCCAGACTGGTCAGAATGCGAGCTACGGAAGCAACGCTACGGGATCAGACAGGCAGCTAGACCCATGAAATATTCCGGCTAAGGAGGCACGGACGTGACATCCTATGATTCCCCATTTATGTTACGTTGTGTGACGGAAACGTGGTCGATAAATGCATGTGTGCGCGCAGCTTGTGAAAACCGTGGTCGCGTGCAATAAATATTGTGGTTTCTTGCCGCTTCGTTATTGCCACACGAAGAGACACACTGCTGTTGATGTCGGGAAAGTAAACCGCAACTGCTGTGGTCAGATAATTGAACCAGTATTACATTTGCCATCATTACCGTGACAACTCTGTCCAAATGATTCACCACTCATAGATAACGTAATAGTTCACAAGGATTAATACGGATACAGTCGTGCAAAACGCCCGGTCAGGACGGACTATCGCCTGTAGTCATCAATGAATATGCCATTGACATAGCACGGCCTTTTCTATACTGTACACCATGTGCATAAATCAACACAAGATAGCTGACTGCTGGTGTAGTGCCCGCATCGCACTTGTACCAAAAGAAGGAACCTGTAAGTACCGACCCATTGCTTCAAGGTGCCTGAACAAATTATTTTCGAAATAGTGCATGCCCAAACACATGCAATTGAGCCTTTTCAGTTCGCCTATCTAAGTTCATTGTCTACTTTGGATGCATTAGCCTGCCTTGTACACTTCATGCTTCCATCACCCGACAGAAAAAACAAAGCCACGCGGATCTGCTTCCTAGATCATAACCATGCTTAGGGTTATGTAAATCGTGAACTGTTGTTACAAGATCTGCTAATCGCCGGCGTTCAACCTTCGTTAGTAATTCTCCCTACTGACTACCATGCCAATCGTACGCAGTTTATCAAAATTTGGGAAAACCTCTTCCTCATGCACCACAAATTCAGATGTTCTTCAAGGGGCTATTTTGTCCACATTTATATTTTCCACTAACATTAGCGCAATTCCCCCTCCAAAGGAAGCTATCCTGCTGAAGTAGGTTAATGACATAATCTTGGGTGTAGATAATCACACCGCAGATTCATCGGACAATTTATAAAGCGTCTTGGACAACAGCAAAGCCTGGTTCCAATCCCGCTGTCTTTCATTCAACACACCAAAGTGTAAAGATGTGTAAAGATGTTCTTTTTTCGCTGTCCAATGAGATTATTTATCTGCAAGTCCTCACACGCACTCCGCGTGTCAGTCTGAACTCCTGTACATGTATGAAATATCAGTTACAGTAAGCCGGGATCTCACGTGATCGTATCAAGTGAACGAAACATTCACTAGAGTCAGACTAGCTTTTAGTGTCTCCCGACTTAGATTTTCGTCCATGCCGCGTTACTTTGTCTTACGGTCGGTCACCGCATGCGTAATACTGCACTGGACGTATTGCTC